AAGGGATAATACCAAACATGTTCTATGAAGCCAACATTGCACTAATACCAAAACTGAACAAGGACAACACAAAAGAAAACTGCAAGCCAATCTCTCTAATTAACACGAATACAAAAATCCTCAATAAAATTTTAGCTATCAGAATCCAACAATGTATACGCCACGACCAAGTAGGATTTATTCCTGGGACACGAGAATGGTTCAACATCTGAAAATCAATCAATGTAATCCAACACATCAACAAAAATAAAAAAAATAAAATGATAATATCAATAGATGCTGAGAAAGTTTTCGACAAAGTACAACACCCATTTATGATGAAGGTCCTTGAAATTCTCGGGATACAAGAAACATACCTCAAAATCATAAAGGCCATATATGACAAACCCATATCCAATATATCATTCTCAATGGTGAAAAGCTGAAAGCATTTCCATTAAGGTCTGAAACAAGACAAGGATGTCCACTCTCACCACTGCTTTTCAAGATAATACTGGAAGCCCTAGCCACAGCAATTACACAAGAGAAAGACATACAAGGAATCCCAATAGAGAAGGAAGAAGTCAAACTATCACTATTTGCAGATGATACAATAATATATACAGAGAACCCCAAAAACTCCACAGAAAAACTAATCAAACTAATCAATCACTTTAGTAAAGTTCAAAATCAACACACAAAAATTAGTAGCCTTCATATACACAAACAATAGATCTGAAGAAGAAATTAAAAAAAATCCTTTTATTATTGAAAAAAAATCAAATACTTGGGAATAAACCTAACGAAAGAGGTAAAAGACCGATACAAAGAAAACTATAAAACACTGTTAAAAGAAATAGATAAAGACACAAAGAAATGGAAAGACATCCCTTGCTCATGGATTGGAAAAATTAACATTATCAAAATGGCCATCCTACCAAAGAAATTTACAAATTCAATGTTGTTCCAATAAAAATTTCAATGACATTCTTCAAAGAAATAGAACAAATATTGATGAAATTCATAGGGAGCCACCAAAAACCCTGAACGGCCAAAGCTCTCCTGGAAAAAAAAGCAAAAGGGCATGGAGGCATCACACTCCCAGACTTGAAACTATACTACAAAGCCATAATAATCAAAACAGCATGATATTTGAACAAGAACAGACATATGGATCAATGGAATTGAATAGAAAATCCAGAAATAAGTCCAAAGATTTACAGTCAAGTGATCTTTGACAAAGGAGCAAAGAAATTTTGCCCAATAAATGGTCCTGGGAAAACTGAGACGCTACATGCAAAAGATTGAAGCCTGACTACTACCTCACACCATGCACAAAAAACAACTCAAAATGGATTAAAGAACTAGACATAAGACCTGAAACCATAAATATATAGAAGGTAATACAGGCAAAACACTACATGACATATACCTCAGTAATATCTTTAAAGACTCATCACCCAAAGCAGTGATAGCGAAGTCAAAGATAAACAGCTGGGGCTATATCAAATTAAAGAGCTTCTGTACAGCAAAAGAGACAGTAACCAAAACAAAAAAAAAAACCCACTGACTGGGTGAAAATATTTGCACACAACACTAATGATAAAGGACTAATCACAAAAACCTACAAAGAGCTGAAGAGTCTCAACAAAAACAAAGTAAATAATCCAGTCAAAAAATGGGGGAAGGGCTAAAAAGGAACTTCTCCAAAGAGGAAATGCAAATGGCCAACAGGCATATGAAAAAATGTTGAACATCACTTGTAATCAGGGAAATACAAATCAAAACTACAATGAGATACCATCTTACTCCAGTGAGAATGGCACATACTAAAAAAGCCTAGCAACAAAAATGTTGGAGAGGATGTGGAGAAAAAGGAACTCTCCTGCACTGCTGGAGAGTGCAAACTGGTCCAACCACTATGGAAAGCTGTGTGGAGATTCCTCAACCTGCTAAAGATGGAGCTTCCATATGATCCAGCAATTCCACTCCCAGGTATTTACCCAAAGGACAGAGAAACATTAATTCAAAAGGACACCTACACCCTCTATGTTTATAGCAGCACTATTTACAATAGCTAAGCTATGGAAACAACACAAATGCCTAAAAATAGTTGACTGGATCAAGAAGATATGGTTCATATACACAATGGAATATTACTCATCAATCAAAAAAGATAAACTCATGCAATTTACAGCAACATGGATGGAGTTGGAAGGGATCATGCTCAGCAAAATCAGCCAGAAAGAAAAAGAAAAATACCAGATGGTCTCACTCATAGCAGGAATTTAGAAAACCAAAATAAGGGGCCAGGATTATAATAAAGTAAAAATCAAAATCAACAAGCAACTATAAACCAGAGACACACTACAGAGGTGAGGGCGGGGAGTAGGAGGGATTACTGTCAAAATAAGGGGGTTGGGGATTGTACGGGGACTATAACTAAGATGAAAATGCATATGTTGTGCAAAAATAAAAAATGATATAAAACATATAAAAGAAAATTTAAAAAACGCAAAAAAGAGAAAGCTTGCTGAATGGCTAAACATAGAATTACCTATCATATGAGCCAGCAATTCCACTCCTAAGTATATACCCAAGAGAAATCAAAACATATATCTACATAAAAACTGTCATTACCCAGAATGAGAGATGAAACAGACCAAATCCCATCAACTGATAAATGGATAATGTGCTATATCCATACAATAAATTATCATTCAGTGATAAAAAGAAAGAACTGTTACCTACTATAACATGGAACAATCTTGAAAACATGCTAAGCAAAGCAAGCTAATCACAAAGAACCACTTATGTGATTCATAAGACATCTAGAATAGGGGCCTCCCTGGTGGTGCAGGCAGTTGAGCGCCACACTGTGAAGCTGTCCGCAGCCTCTGCAGCGCGGGTTCAATTCCTGCTGGCTGGCAAGAATCCCATATGGCACAGCAGACCTCTCCTGTCTTGCCCATTGCTCCCCTCAGCAGTGTATTTCATCAGTCTGCCTTTCTGCTCCACACTCTGTCTGGTGAATCCTTTCACCCTCCCGCACATCTGTCCTGTACCCTGGTTCTTGTATAAATAAATCAATCTTAAAAAAAAAAAAAAGACATCTAGAATAGCAAAATCTAGAGAGAGACTGGTTAGCTAGGGCTGGGAGAATGGGGGAATTAGGAATTAATGCCTACTTAGAACATGGGGTTTCTTTATAAGGCAATGAAAATGTTCTAAAACTGATGTGGTATATGTGAATTGCATGACATGTAAATTTCATCTCATGTTGATTTTTAGGAAAATTTTTCATACTTTAAAATATATATGGGGGAGCAAATTCTAAATTTTCAAATTTTAATTCAATGTCTGACAGGAATTTAGAATACATTGATTCACTCTCTCCTCCCTTCCCGCCTCCCTCCCCCACCAAAAAAAGCATCAAGAAGTTAATTTTCATTGTATGGTAGACATCCAGTGGAAAAAAACAATTTCCAGCATGGAGCCAGATTAGGTGGCAAGGACAACTTGATTTTTAAAATATGTATCAAAAGATGAACAGATGTAGTTAGGAGTACTCCACAACTAAGCCTAAGACGAGGGTACTGGAATGTAAAAGCAAATGACAGAGATAACTGATACCTCTTTTTTTATTAAATTATGGTAGAAAACACCTAAGATTTACCATCATAATCATTTTTAAGGGTACAAGTCAGTAGCATTAAGCATATTAACACTGTTGCATAACCAATTTCCACAGGTTTTTCATCTTGCAAAACTGAAACTCTATACCATTAAACAGCTTGCCATTACTGTTCCACAAGCCTCTCCAAAGAGCCATTCCACTTTCTTTTCTGTGACTCTGACTACTTTAGATGTCTCATGTAAGTGGAACATTCAGCATTTCTCTTTTTGTGATGAGCTTCTTTAACTTAACATAATGCACACAATGTCCTTGTTGTAGAATGTGAAAATATTTCCCTTATTTGAAAGACGAAATATTTCACTGAATGTATCTACAACATTTTGTTTCTTCATTCATCCATCCATGGCCACTTGGATCACTTCACTTCCTCATCTCAGCTATTATGAATAATGTTGTTATGAACAAGGATTTCTCTACCTTAGCATTCTCCTTTCTTAAGATCCCAAGGGAACAAGAGAGACTTAAATATAAACAGACATATTAGATAAATAAGCATGCCTCAAGATATCGTCCAAGGATTACTAGTATGTATTTTGGGGAATGATAAAATCCCATTAATAAGTTTACAAAACACTGATGTCAAAGAGTTTAACAAGTTTTTTTATCACAAGATTTCTCAGTCCCCGATTTTTTGATGTCCTCTATGAACCCCTCAGAGACTATACTGTATGCAGTTTTTTGTGAACTTATTTGTTCAGGACGCCCTTGGTGCAGGGTCTCTTGGATTCATGTTCTGAGGAGTAGTTAGGAAGGACAGTTTCCACTGGACAGTGAACTAAAAAGTTGGATGCTTTTGTACATTACCTTAAAGAGCCCTATGCTCAAACACAGTGATGTTACCACAGTAACAGTGATGAGCTTGATCTAACTAAGAGGGGATATGTCTATTTCTTTTATTCTTATATATACTTAGAGCTAAACGGAGTCCAGGTCATTGAGACAATAATTACTGAGTCATTCCACTTACTTTTCAAAATGTGCATATCTTAAAACTCAGACTCAAGAAAACAAATAGTTATAACATCTGCCTTTATCTTTGACGTGTCTGGAAAGAATGTACTGACATGACAGCAAAGACATTAAAATCAGAAATCCAATAAATCAGAAATTCTTCACGAAAAAAAGGCCCACCTTTAGAATGAATAAAGCTTGCATCCAGTGCTTTACTTCAACAAAATAATTAAATGGGTTACTGTAGCCTCAAGTCACCAAAGCAAGCTTAAATTAGTACAGAGCTATACATAGTTCTCAAACTAAATGAACTAGGAGAACATAATTCTCAACCAGGAAAATTATCAAAGCTGTTATTAAATGTGTTACTTACTGCTATAATTTGGTCTCCAATTTGGATTCTTCCATCATGTTCAACAGCACTGCTCTTTGTAATACTCTTTACAAAGATTCCTGAAGGTTCTAAGATTAGAATAAGTTATTTCTTAATATTTAAAAAGCACACTAGAAGAATAGCTACCCTCCCCTCTCCAAATATAAAGTCCTAATGTTGAATAAATACAAATAAAATGTCACACAAACAAAACTATAGTAGCAACTGGACTAGAAACTAAGACAATGGTTTGAGTTGTCATAAATATAATCCCCAAATCACCTACATTAAATTATCCCTAAGGTAGGTTTCATCAGTTTATTCAACAGTCTGAAGAACATGATTTTAGTTAAATATCTTATAAGACAAAGGTATTAGAGGTAACTCCAAGTTGAAAATACATTAATGTTTAAAATTACCTAATTTTTTATCTCCAATGTAACCAGCAATAGTAATTCCTAATCCTTGGATATTTTTAGTGAGTTCAACATCAAATGTCTCACTTTCTTCACTTTTCTGAGTAGAAGCATCAACCTAAAATAAAATAAAATAAATATACAGAGAAGTATACTGTAAACAAACAAGATAAATTGTAAAGGCCAAAACCTTTAGGAATATGATATAATTAGGTCAGACAACTCTGCTAGAAGTGACTGTTTCTTCAATCTTGTCAACACATACTGAGCATAACACATCTATGCAAAAGGAATGTCAGCAGTAAAACGGTCTCCCCCATCAGAGAAATAGATTGTTTTTTAGGTATCTAAAATTTTAAACATCAACGAGTTTCTTATAACAAGTTCTCTTTTCAGAAATGGCTCATCTTCATTTTTTGAAGAATGTGGGGAATAAGACCTTTGAAAGAATTCACATTTTGAATTCAGACCAACAAGTTCAAATCTATCTTTGTTAATTTTTCTAATAATCAGTAAGCTCTATTGTTTACCAGGAATAAGAATAGCAATAGGTCTAGTTAACTTTTACTGAGCAGTTTCTATGTAATAGGCACTTAACCTGTCTACTCACTTATTTCTCAGAATATGCCTAAACATTGGTACAATTACTGTCAATTTTTCTTTGGGGAAACTAAGGCATATAAACTTTTCCAAGAACAGAAAGCAATCTAGTAGAGACAGAATTCAAAGGCAGGTAGTCTGGTTGCAAAATCCCTACTCTTCATTACCACACAGTATGTAAAATCCTTCCTTGAATAAGGACTACAGTGTCTACTCAGGGCAAGGTGTTATTACTATCTTAAGTTGGTAGTTGATTCTAATACCATGAATGAGTTAATTCTCTAGATAATATAGTAATAGACTGGTGATTATTTTGAAGCCAGTGAAATGTACCATAAAACTATTTAAAAATCTCCCTTTAGGGCCTCCCCGGTGGCACAGGGGTTGAGCGCTGGGTTGTGAAGCTGCCTGCAGCCTCTGCAGCGCTGGTTCGATCCCCAGCCACCGGGCGAGGGTCCCACATGGTGCGCAGACCTCTCCTGCCGCCCGCTGCTCCCCTCAGCAGTGTATTTTGTCACTCTGCCTGTTCTGCTCTCCGCTCTGACTCTGGTGGATTCTTTCACCCTCCCGCGCTTCTGACTGTACCCAGTGGTGTATAAATAAATAAATAAATCTTTAAATAAAATAAAATAAAATAAAATTCTCTAAGTGCCAACAGAAAAACAAGGTATAAAAAAAGTATGCCTTCTGTGTTGGTTTCCCTCATTCTTAGAATGACAGAGGAAAGCAGGTTTCTCCAACATGTAGAATTGCTATTAATTATATTTTTTGACTGAAGGGCAAAACTCCCTGAATCAAGTATTAGTAGATTCAAGCAATAAGTCATCAAATAGGTGATTGTCATTATATACTAGTGTGATGTCGGCAGCTTCCACAGAGAATCCTAAGATGATTACAACAAAATAAAGGCTGTGGGTTCAAAAGACATGCAGGTTGTGGTTTGCTCACAATGTTTTCTGATTTTCTTTAGGCAAACTTCAACTGCATTTCACCGACAGCCCACCTAAATAAAATGTAATTTTATAGTAAAGTTCGATTTATTTTTTTCACTGCACATAATTATCTGTGCAAACTTAGCAAAGTTTAAAGTTTAGATAATTACAAGAAAATGACAGGATGAAATCTGCTTCAATTGAAACAAATGTGTTTTCTATTTTTAATAAGACTTATGCGAGTGCTATTTTAGAGGGTGGCAATTTGACTATCGAATGGTTTTAAAAGGGGCACAGGCTTCAAAAATGATGATATGCACAGAATAGATATTTTTCTAAGCTTTCAATTACATCAAGTGGTTTTCGGTATTGCATTCATTTATATATTGCTGAATAAAATGTTTTGTTTACCACAAAGAATGCCACTTAAATACTTTCATAAACAAGCTTTCACTCTTTACTTTCTCTTCGCAAAAAATAGCAACCAAACTCAATCCTAAAAACAACAGAATCATGGAAATTTCAAGTGTTCTAATAAAGTTTTCAAGGGCTGTGGAAGAGTTAGGATATTAAAAAAATGTGTAGCAATGGTAAAAGAATTTTTAATAAAAAAAATCATAGATGTTTTTAAATCTATGAAAAAGGAATGCAAGATGTGTACTGGCTATAAAGCTTACATAGAAATTGAATAGAATTCTCTTATATATTTAAGAGATTTATAAATAAAATTACTAGGTTGATTTTTTATTCGTTCCAGTCCTGTAACCTGAACCATCTGAAATAACGACTACATTCTAATAACTTTTTAATTTTTCTAGTATTTTTTCATGTCAAGTTAACATAGATGGAATGTTTATGAATAGAGTTTTGTTGCAATTCCAAAAGAATATTTTTTCTTTTAAAAATTATGGAACTGGATAAGAAGAGTGATTTCTTATTATGAATCTGATAACAATTATGTGACAAATCTTAAAACAATAATACTGAAAAGTTTTAGTAAGCTTTACTTACCCCAACTAAGCCTGCTCCTATTCTCACTTCCCAAAAAGACTAAAATGAAACTTGCTGAAAGGGAATGATTGGAACCTAAGTCCTACCTCACAGACAAAATTCTAATTAAGAAAATTAATTAAATATTTTAGGTTATTAGCTGTAATTTTAAAAATTACTTATGTTATCCACACTTCAAAGTATGTTATCCATACTTCAAACATTATCTTCATAAATGTGTTTCTTATAGCAAAATGTACAATAGTAATGGGTCTCCCCTGGTGGCGCAGGCGGTTGAGCGCCGTGCTGTGAAGCTGTCTGCAGCTTCTGCAGCACTGGTTCAATCCCGGCCAGCCGGCGAGGGTCCCACATGGCACTGCAGACTTCTCCAATCTTGCCTGCTGCTCCCCTCAGCAGTGTATTTCTTCTGTCTGCCTGTTCTGTTTCCTGCTCTGTCTCTGGTGAGTCCTCTCACCCTCCTGCGAATCTGACCTGTACCCCAATTCTTGTATAAATAAATATGTAAATCTTTAAAAATAAAATAAAATAAAATAAAAATAAACTCCCAGAATTAAAAATATATATATATACAATAGTAACCTGGAATTATACTTCATCCATGGATACATTATTCCTAATTAATAAAATGTTAGTACTGAGATATCTCTATTTGGGTTTGTTTTACTCTATTAACATAAATATTAATAATTATATTATAATTATAAATATTAATAGAGTAAAACAAATAATTATAAATATTAATAGAGTAAAACAAACCCAAATAGAGATATCTCTATTAATATAAATATTAATAGAGTAAGTCTGCTTTCTACATAAAGATTGCCATCTAAAAGCTAAGTGTGACTTTTCCATCATCTGTATTTACATACCCGCATCTCTGGAGTAGAAGATGAGGATGAGGAAAGGGTGATGCCCAAAGAGGTGGGTGCTGTTGGTTCTTCTATGGCACCTCTTGCAATCATCAACTTAATTCTATTTCCACATTGTCTGAGTACTTGTGCTACTTGTTCACTACTCATTCCTGCAAGATCTGTGTCACCAATCTTTAAAATGTGGTCTCCACTGCATAATCGTCCATGCTGAATAAAAACATTTTGATTAATCAGGCTATTATCATTTTAACTTCATTAGAGAAATCATAAATGAAGGAAAAGGAATAATAATAATACAAAATTGCTTTCATATAAATTACCAATCATGTGTCAATGAACATGTGTTTGTAATTTAAACTGTCTTTTCAAGCATCCTAACATCATTCAATGTGATGTATGTAAAATGAAATTCACAAATTTTCACTTCAATCAATAGTGAATATGAGTTTTTCGATTTGATTTTGACCCACTGCCTGTAAGAAAATACTAAAACTTCTGTATTTTTTTTTTTATTTTATAGAGGCATGTTTTATTTATTTATTTATTTATTTATTTATTTGTTTGTTTGTACAAGCACTGGGTACAGTCAGAAGCGCGGGAGGGTGAGAGAATTCACCAGAGCCAGAGCGGGGAGCAGAGCAGGCAGAAGGACCGAAGTACACTGCTGAGGGGAGCAGCGGGCGGCAGGAGAGGTCTGCGCGCCATGTGGGACCCTCCTCTGGTGGCTGGGGAGCAGCCGGGGATCGAACCGGCGCCACAGAGGCCGCGGGCAGTTTCGCAACCCAGCGCTCAACCACTGCGCCACAGGGGAGGCCCTGTAATTTTTTTATGGCTAAAAAAAAAGACAATGCGATTGAGCAAAGATAAAGTATTAGCAGCAAAGTAAATACATGCTACTCAAAATATAGTGTGAACCACAAGACAGCACTGACATAACACAATTTTCTGTCTTGCCAGTTCAATTATAGATGTCTCTAAAGAACCCAATTGCAGATGAAATCCTTCTGAGATGAAAATTCAGATAAATGAGGTGAGTGTATTTATAACGTGAAAATTATTTTGATAAGCCTCCACAGGACTACTGTCTATGAGAGGTTTCTGCAGTGATGGAAATGTTCTGCATTGTCCAACCTGGAAGCTCTAGTGACATGTGGCTATAACGGACCTGAAATTCCTAATAAAGATCTGAATTTGTCACTTTATTTAATTCCAATTAATTTGAATAATTAATTTTGATTAATTAAATTTGAATTTAAAAATGTCATGAAGCAAGTAGTTACTGTATTAGACAACGTAGTTATCTACTAAAGATAAAGCTTACTTATCAGTTATTTATCACATTTATCTAGGGATATTTCATCAGAGAATGCTTACAGCTGCCTTATGTTTTACAAGAAAATCTGCACAATATTGTGCTGTTGTCGATAGCTCTATTGTCAATAGCTCTACTGATAAGGTTACCATTAATCAGGTCTTTCATTTATGACTATGAAAGCAGTTGATGAACCTGCATTCCTAGTTAAATTCAAATACACATGCAAAAACAGCTTTATAAACAAAATGCTATAATCATAGGTTACTCACCTTAACAGAACTTCTCAAAATATAAACCATAACCAGTAAGTTTTCAAAAAGTTTTCTCGCATATATTCCAATATCACAAAGAATAAAATGCAATGCTTTAATAAACTACTGTAAGTGAGTGATAAAGAAGGCTGTGCTACATATACAAATATAAAACCATCCGGGCGTACCCTGGTGGCGCGGGCGGTTGAGCGCTGCGCTATGAAGCTGTCCACAGCCTCTGCAGCACGGGTCCAATCCAGGCCAGCTGGAGAGGGTCCCACATGGTGCAGCAGACCTCACCTGTCTCACCTGCTGCTCCCCTCAGTAGTGTGTTTCGTCAGACTGCCTGTTCTGTTCCCTGCTCTGTCTCTGGTGAATCCTCTCACCCTCCCGCGCATCTGGCCTGTACTCTGATTCTTGTGTAAATAAATAAATAAATCTTTAGAAAAAACAAAGATAACACCACCGAACTCACTAAAGGAAAAAACTGAATCTTTGATTTTTTTTCCCCCCTCAGTGACGAAAGGTCCTTTTTTACATAATAAGTGGTTCTATAAAATAGCTGATTAGGTTTATTAATATGATTTATGATCATAAAATAAAGGCTTGCTACTTTTACAACGAGCAAAATCATAATCCTAGCATCTTAAGATCACCGTATACAACTAACTTAAATTGTTCCTTTTCAAAGAGAACGTGTAAGAAAACACTTTAGAGATAGCTTAGCAAAACAGGAGATTCTCACTCTACTTTCTTGACATAATTTATTTAAAACCACATTTTTTCTAACAGAAAATATAAAATATAAAGCCATATTATTCAGTAAAACAGCACAAAAGACCTGCTGGGATAGCTTACCTGATCAGCTACTCCTCCAGGCAGAATAGTTTTGACGATCACACCAGTTGATTTTCCTCCTACAATGCCAAATCCCAGACCAGATCCATCATTCACCAATTCAATGGTTTCCACATGTTGCCAGTGAACCTAAAAACAAAACTCTTATATTTTTATTACAAGTTCAGCTTTTTTGTACTTAGTATTAGAGAACTGTATTCAGATATAATATTGAGCCTTTAAAAATGTCCTTTTTATTTAGTATACTTCCTTTTCAATAGATCATTACTATTGATTTAATCATTCTTGAAATTATCAACACATCATTATGGTGACTACATTTGCCAGTTAAACATAGGCAGTGATTTCTCAGAACCTTTGTAAAACTTCTAAAAAGAAATACATATATAAACAACATGGGGGGAAAAGTGATTAGATCTCAAAAGTCTAGTAAAAAGATTGCTAAGGAGTCTTCTATATAACCCTGCCATGCAGGACTGCAAGTCAGATAACCTTAAAGTCACTGAGTTTAAGTAGTCAGCTGAAGAACAATATAACAATATAATTTACAAAACAAAATCAAGACGTTATCTGTTTATAAATGTTAATTTTGTTAAAGACTAATTTTTTTTTTTTTTCTGAAGAATGCCACCAAGTAAAACTACTGCACAAGAAAGGTAAAACTTGTTTTAGAAGTCAGTGATCTAATCATTAAGTTATAATAAATACCCCAGGATAGAAAGATATAAATGATAATAAAAAGTAGAAACACAAAAGTACAAAGCAACTAAAGAAACTTGAGACTTGTAGGTAACAGAAAAAAAAGAAAATACGTTCTTCACCTTTTGAAAGTTTTACATATATACATACTCACCGGATTAGAGTGAGCTGAAACTGTACTGGCTGCAGATGGAGAACGGGAAATTATGGGACTTATGAGCTGAGGCAATGAGCCTCTCGCAATAACTAGCTGGACATTATCTTTGGCTTTCTGCAGGATGCTGATAGCCTGCTGATGTGTGATTGTCTGATCAAGAACCTGTCCATTGATAGCAAGGATTTGATCAGTTTCCTTCAATCTTCCATCTCTATTAAGAATGAAGAAAAGGGTAAAGATACCAGACTGCTTTCAAGAAAAGCTTCTCTAGCATATGTTTTCAATATATTTTATATTCTAGTTTCCAACGTCCAGACATCTTAAGTTTTTTCCTGTAGTTCTACTTTTAAGATTATTTTTCTGATTTTAATCCTGTTTTTTTTTAATTTTTTCCCTAAAAGTTCTACTTTTAAAAATAGTTTGTTTGATCGATTCCTAATCAACCTCTTTCAGCTGAAAGCCTTCTCCTCTCCAGCTAGCCCTACAATCTATACATTTTATCTTGGATGTTCCTATTTTCTACAAATGAAAGCAAAGATGCATATATTTACTTTGAGCATATTAGCCAAACACATCTCAAATTATCATGGATCATTTGTATACCTTCCTTTCAGTAACTTTACAAATCTAATCAAAAAGAGCTTATTAACAATGAAAATAATACACTACTCAAAATTTTCTTTCCTTACTAAAAGGTAATTAAGGTATGACGATATTTAAATGCTACTTTTTTTTTTGACCTTTCACTTTTTCCTTCTTTTTTTCTTATTCCCTCTATCTAGTCACCTGTGCAGTGACCACACCCTACTTGCCCCTTCCCCCATTCCTTTCATCCTGTCCCCTATTTCCTCTGGTAACCCTTATCTGTAGCTCTGAAAAACCACTGTTTCTGAAAGGACCTGTTTTTTATCATAACATTCTTAAAGACTTCTTTAAAAAGTGACTATTAACAGATTGCATTCATTTTTGTTTGTTTTTACCCATTTTTGTTTCTCTACATTCTCCCAAGGTAATCGTACTTTCTGAACTTGGTATAAAAAGCAGAGACAATTTCCCGAAAGTCTCACCTGTGAGCCACACTGCCCTCTTGGATCTCTTGCACAAATATTCCCAATTCTCCCCTGTTTTCACTCCTTAGTCCCACAACACTAAAACCGAGGCCCCCACAAGGAGGTTTGAGGAGTTCAAAAATTTCAACATGGCGACCCTTTTCAGGAAACAAAGCAAGAAATAAAATTAAAATTCACTGGAGTAGCAGTCGACATTTTAGTGGTATTACTTTGCTTAAAAAAAAAAAAAACTGATTTTTTTTTTGCTAAGATAACCTTTATCGCTTATAACAGAGAATGAGACATTTTACTTACTTTGAAGACTATTTCTGAACAAAACATGCAATACTCAGTTGAATATGTGATAATAAAAATGAAAAATGGAATAGGAAAATCTTTATAGAATCCAAACTTGCATAAAATATACTACTTACTTATTCCAATTTTTCAGATGTTAATAAAGTCACTGTATTCTCCAAATTATCCAGAACTTGATTATACTATCACAACATTAAACACATTCTATCATTACTAAGAGGAGGAAAAGTTCTCACCTGGGCCATATTTTTTATCAGTTGATCAAATTCATCACAAGCAGGTTTTCCATTGATATATGGAGTACCAGATCCTGTAGGTACGTCCAAATTCCCATTATTTAGGGAAGATAAAAAGGTTTCATTTTGCAGAGCAGGAATTACAGCTGGGCCAATAGGTGGGATGTGGGCATAGTCAATATTTGAAATTGCAGAAGTTGTAATGTTTGCCTAAGAGCAATTTGAAAATTATTAGCAATTTTAATATCCCATAAATTAATTCATAAAAATATCAAAAAGGTAATAATGTAGCACCTACAAAATTTTAAACTGCCCATATTCTTTGAACAGGCATTCTATTTCAGGAAATTTATCTCAAGGAGAAAAATTAGAATAAAAGATAACATACAAGGATGTTCAATGCATTATTATTTAATGACTGGGAAAATTTTATAAACTGTTAATATTCAGTGTTCAACTTCAGGGTACTCATTAAAACATACATATCCATACACACTTTTTTTTTTTAAGATTTATTTATTTATACAAGCACTGGGTACAGTCAGAAGTACGGGATGGTGAGAGAATTCACCAGAGCCAGAGCGGGGAGCAAAAACAGGCAGGAGGGGGAGCAGCAGGCGTGGCAGGTCGCACCATGTGGGACACTCGCAGGCAGCCAGGGATCAAACCGGTACTGCAGAGGCTGCAGGCAGCTTTGCAGCCCAGCGATCAACCACTGCGCCACTGGGGAGGCCCCCGTACACACTCTTAAGTGAGAAGTTGCTGAAACACTATGTACAAGATGGTCTAATGTACATTAAAAAATGTTTATGCATGCTTTAAACAGCTGGATGACTATACACCAAAGAAATAACCAATACAATGTTAGCAATCCCTGAGAGATGGGATGCCAGGAGATCATTTGCTCTCTGTATCGCTTAAAATTTTATAACACTACTTAGTCAATAATTTGGTCTCTCCCAAAGATAGGACTGGCTTTGGTCCCTAGATCCTAGGCAGTAAGCTCTAAATCCCTGGGGATTCCCAAATGATAGGAGTGTCTCTGATATTCATGATATGTCCCAAGGCTATATGATATCTGCTCAAATTGTGAGTCTAAGTTATACCATGTGGGTAATCAGTCAATCAATCACACCTGTAAAATAATGCCACAACAAAAACTCTAAAACCCTGAGCTCAGGTGAGCTTCCAAGGTTGGCAATACTCTACGCATATTATCGTATGTTGATTCTGGGAAGGGAATACTTTCTGAGCAAAGTGAAAACTTTACAACTGGACTCCCCCTAGACTCTCTTTCCTGTGGTTGATGTTTGATCTGTATCCTTTCCCTATCAGAGACCACAATAACAAGAACAAAAGCTTTCAATAAGTTCTATAGTTCCTTCTAGAGAATTATTAAACCCAAATAAGGTTCTAGGAACCTCTTGAACTTCCAGATATTAACAGAAGTGAGGGTGGTTTTGTAATTTCTTCTTCCTTCACACCTGGAAATTAAATGTCTACTGCTGATGTTTCAAAAGTCTTGGGCACAGCTGGCTGTCTGGAGAACTATGGTCCCAAACTTGCAGTTTGGCTCACTCCAGGTAGAATAACTAACAACAACAAAATGCTGATAATTACATTTTGGAAAAATATTTTACAATTACTGTTTGTGACTGTTACAAAAAGCTCCAAGTCAAATCTAAGTAACTTGTAATATAACAGTTAATACTAATTTCATATTTCTGTAGAGTGCCTGCAATATATTTTACCTAAAACCATTTATCAGACATGTCGCATCACTAATTTTGTTAGATCACTCTCTGAACTCATCTCCCACATTCTGCCCCACCCCCCAGAGCTCCAGGTACACTGACCACTTCATTACTAAAACTGCCAGTTATTCTCTGTACCAGCAAGATACATCCTTCCCCCAAGTATCTACATGTTTATTTCTTTCATTCATTCAGATGTGCTCAATTACACCTCAGAGCAGGCTTCTCCAATAATCCTATGTGAGACTACATGCCATCATTAGTCTCTATGAGCTTAACATGCGCTGTTTTTCTTCATGGCACTGATTACGCTGACATGTGCCCTGTTAACATGGAACTCCCATCCCAACCTACTAGACAGCCTAGAATTCTAGAATTTTCCAGCAGAGGAATTTATGTTTTATTCTCTATTATATACCCATTCTCCAGAAGAGTGCTTTATACATACTTGGTGTTCAATATATATTCGTAGAATAAACGGAACATAGAGAAACCAAACAAAAGGTCAAGAAAAAGCCAAAACTAGCAAGCTGACCATAGGACTGAAGCATACAGCAAAGGAGGGGGCAAGAAGAAGGGACAAACCAGGAGAGAGATGAATAAAAGGGGATATGGTGATGTTTCCCACGTGATATGGCAGCACCAGAACTATGGGGACTACTATGATGTGAGGGAAAAAAAGATAAATGCAAGTAAATTATATAGACTCAAAATATGAAAAAAATGTTTATCCATTTTCTAATGGATACTCCAACCTATTCTCCCTAACAACCCTCAAAGTAGTATTTCCATTTTATAGATGGTTAAATTATATAATGTTACACCTAATAAACAGACAGCAACCTGCATTTTTCATCATGGCATTCCTATCACCTTTATATTATATACATAGTCTACAGTCATTTAAGGTATCATTTCTGGAAATAAGACATTAGGTAAGGGAATTCCATTGATAGAAGCAATTAAAATATCCCATAGGACAGCACCCATTTATGTCTAAATGTTATTTGCTCCTAAAAATAAAGGAGAACTTAATAAATTATAAAAAATTCAAATATGATATCAGCTATCTATAATCACAGCACAAGATCAATGTTGTTAGAAAAAGCTTTTGGGGATTTTTTGAATGCTTACTTTAAAACATACAGTAGGCATGATCAATTATTATTTTTTTAAAAAAGCAAGCTTCTTATAACAAACTTAATCTTTTTTTATCCTGAGCCAATGTAACTTCAATAAAGTCTGCCAGCAGACACACGGCTCAGGTTGAAACAGATGGCATAATGAAACTTGTGACAGGCTGAAGATCCCACACACCAGGACATAATGACTATGGTATATTTACATAGGAAAAAATATTTGGACTTCTGCTATGGTAAGCCAGAATGAGCAAATCACATTCCAAGAATAGAGAATCTATCCATATGAAGTTAACCGGAGAAGTAGAATTTCTAATATGGAAGACTGGGTGTAAAGCCACTCTAAGAGGAAACTTAGTGGACAAGAACAAGTACAGTACTATGGGATTTATATAAACATATTGGACACCAATTGTCTTCTAATTTGTTAAAGGTGTAACTCCTGCTATTTCCTCTCTTGAAGTCTACATAAACAAAAATCAGACTATATATTTTAAAACTGCAATTTAATTATATCATCATACAAAAGGCTTGTTTTTAAATTTACAAATTTATGCCCATAGGTGAAAGTACAAGGCACCTTTTGATTTTGCTACAACTGTTTATTAAAATGGTTTCTGAACTGTAATGTCCTGGAGGAACAGGAATGAATTTTATTTGCCTTGATAGCCCTGTTCATAAAAGAGACACTATAAATGTTTAATGAAAAGAACTAGATTCCCATCTTGGCTTATAGACTCTAAAATAAACAGAAGAAAACACAAATATCTGGTGGTTTTTATATAAAGATACACAATCTGTATAATTTATGGAAGTTGCTAGTAAATGAGCAAGTCACCAAATAATTATCTGTTCTCTCTTTAACTTCAGGCCATTTCAGCACAAAAACAAAAACAAAAAAAAACCATTTTATGGTCTTAGTAAATAAACATATAGTAACTTAATTTATGTATTTTAATTAGTGCTAATACCTAACACCTAACTGAAATGAAGATTATGTAAACTATTCAATTAAGAAAGGGGTCAATTATTTGTGTAAGGGAAGAATAAAACACCCTCTCAGTATTTGAAATATTGTGGAGCTCTTGGGTTTTCAATTTCTTTTTTCAAGTATGGTAGCATTGGTTTACACTTTATATGATTCAGAGGTATAGGCTGTATGTTCAGATGTATGTTGCACAAGACACCCACCACCAAAGCACCCACAGTCCTCCACCATAGTCCACTGGGCACTATTAATACCCTGTTCTCTCTCTTCCTCTCCCCCTATGGTAACCTCAATTCTACAGTCAGACTCCTAGGGTTTATTAATGGTTTGGTACTCTCTGACACACCCTTTTTCCCCCCAGTATTCCACATATAGGTGAAACTATCATGTATATGTCTTTCTTCTTCTGACTTATTTCACATAATATTATCACCTCCAGGTCCATTCATATTGTCACAAATGGCAAGAGTGCATTATTTTTTAAATAACTGAATCGTATTACATTGTGTATATATACCAATCTTCTTAAACCATTCATCTGTGTTTAGGTTGGTTTCATAATTAGGTTATTGTCAATAGTGCTTCAATGAAGATAGCCGATCTCTTAGAATTTGTGTTTTTGCATCTTTTGGGTAGATAACTAGAAGTGGAATTGCTGGATCATATGGCAGATCTATTTTTAATATTTTGAGAAACTGCCATAGTGTAGTTTTAAATATATTTAAATAAAAGTACATGATAAACAAAAAACAGGCTTAAACTGGCTGAAGTGTTTTTAACATCCTTGCATTTTCCATGAAATAGTGAAAGTATCAAAGTAAAATCAAGTAAGAGTACACATATCTAATAAAGGAATCAAGTCAAAATAATAAAATGAAGTCAAAACTCCATAGCTTAAACACACAAAAAGACAGTTCACTGAAGAGGACATATGGTTAGAAAAGAAGAACATCATTGTCCACTAGAGAAAAGCAATTTTTTTAAAGCAGTAAGAGTTATCATCATATGACTATCAGAAGTGTAAATTAAAAAAATATATATATAACACCAACAAATGCTGGCAAGGATGTGAAAAAATATTGCTCACACATTGCTAGTAGGACTGCAAAATAGTAGAGCTCTTCTGAAAAATAGTTTGGCAGTTTTTAAAATAAAAATTAAACAATCATTTAGCATTTAGATACCATTGCACTACTGGGCATTTATTATAGAGTAAAAAACTATGTCCACACAAAAGCAGTACACCACTCCCATAGTAGTTTTACCTACAAGTGTAAAAGACAAAAATAAATAAATAAAATGTACCCTACTAGTTATAGCACAGAATGG